AAAGACATTATGCATATGAAATAAAGTATACCGTAATGTTTTACATATAGGATGGACACCCAAACAACTGGATGTAATGACGAAAGAAAACAATGTTTGAAGCATTCCTATATGCTCATAAAACCTCAGCAAACTTAAGAATATATTTAACAAAAGTTGGACAGAAAATTGTTTCGGTGAAATGAAAGTGCTTTGGAAAACGTTTCCAAGTTTTAATAAGAAAGGTTGCTAGTCAAGGTCCTACCACATGAACGAACTCAAACATTTTAAATAGAAGAGATGAAGTACAACCAATTGCAATATAAAGAAGGAACGAAAAATGGGAATTTTCACAATTGCAATATGATAATTACTGACCAGTCAATAAAAAAGAGAGGTATAACAGTGTCATCAATTGCTGCATCAATCTACACCTCAAGCAATGTGAACACCAACAACATACATTCAGCTATCATGACTAGATGCTTTTAACTTCTTTTGAGTAGCATGAATAAGACAAATACAATTTTTTATCCTCCGATCGATACATTCTGAGAACAAGTTACTACTACCCAGTTTTAAATTCAATTTGAAACTTTTAATTATCCCTTTGTTGATATTCTGACTGAAATTTAATCATTCTTGGTTTGGAATAAGTGTATCTTGTGCGGATTGCCCCGATATAGTCGTTATGACACAAGTCAATATGAAATAGATATAATGTAGCTAGGAGTGTAATCCATAATGCGTGTTTCGCCTTATTTAGGTCTCATCACCTGGATCTCACCGGACCACACTACAGAGAACCAGATAGACCATATTTGCATCAACAAAAAATTCCGAAGGACAATGGAAGATGTGAGAACCAGGAGAGGAGCTGACAGAGCTTCAGATCACCACCTACTTGTGGCCAATTTAAAACTGAAACTAAAGAAGAACTGGACAACTGGACAAACAGTAATACAAAGGTTCAATACAGCCTTCCTTCGAGATACTGACAAACTCAATGAATTCAAGATAGCTCTCAACAACAGGTTCCAAGCCTTACAGGATCTACTGAAGGAAGAAGAAACTACTATGGAGGACAACTGGAAAGGCATCAAAAAAGCATTGATTTCAACGTGTCAAGAGGTTCTGAGCCTAAAGAAACATCATCATAAGGAATGAATCTCCATAGAAACACTGAACAAGATCAAAGAAAAGAAGAACAAGAAGACAGCAATTAACAACAGCCAAACAGGAGCAGAGAAAGTCCAAGCACAAGCTGAATACACAGAAGCAAACAAGTAAGTGAAGAAAAGCATTGAAGCCGACAAGAAGAAGGACGTGGAAGAACTAGCAAAGACGGCAGAAAAAGCTGCTAGAGAAGGAAATATGAAACAACTTTACGATACAACGAAGAAACTAGCAAGGAAATACAGTAAACCAGAGAGACCGGTCAAGGACAAAGAAGGCAGGCCAATCACTGAAATTCGACAACAGCGGGACAGATGGGTAGAATACTTCGAGGAACTCCTGAATAGGCCGGCTCCAACGAATCCACCGGACATCGAAGCAGCATACACAGATCTCCCTATAGATGTCAATCCACCGACGACGGGAGAAGTCAGAACAGTCATCAGACAAATTAAGAGCGGAAAACCAGCAGGACCCGACAATATACCAACTGAAGCACTGAAGTCAGACATCGAAGTAACTACAAGCATGCTTCACCTTCTATTCAAAAAGATTTGGGAGGAGGAACAAGTGCCGATAGACTGGAAAGAAGGAAATCTCATCAAGATTCCAAAAAAAGGAAACCTGAGCAAATGTGAAAACTACAGAGGCATTACACTGCTGTCAATATCAGGGAAGGTCTTCAACAGAGTGTTGCTGAACCAGATGAAAGATGCAGTAGACACCCAACTTCGAGATCAACAAGCTGGATTCCGTAAGGATCGATCATGCACAGACCGAATCGCGACACTAAGGATCATCGTCAAACAATCAGTTGAGTGGAACTCGTCACTGTATATCAACTTCATTGATTATGAAAAGGCGTTTGACAGTGTAGATAGGAGAACATTACGGAAACTTCTTCGACACTACGGAGTTCCTGAGAAGATTGTCAATATTATCCGGAACTCATATGATGGACTACAGTGCAAGGTCGTGCATGGAGGACAGCTGATAGACGCATTCCAAGTAAGGACCGGAGTCAGACAAGGCTGTCTACACTCTCCCTTCCTTTTTCTTCTGGTGGTTGACTGGATTATGAAGACCTCGACATCTGAGGGAAAACACGGAATACAATGGACAACTCAGAATCAATTAGACGATTTGGACTTCGCAGATGACCTAGCACTCCTATCGCATACACATGAACAAATGCAGATAAAGACAGTTAGTGTAGCAGCAGTCTCTGCATCAGTAGGCCTCAACATACACAAGGGGAAAACCAAGGTCCTCGAATTCAAAACGGAGAATAGCAATCCAATCACTCTTGATGGCAAAACTCTGGAAGATGTAGAATCCTTCAAATACCTAGGAAGCATCATCGATGAACAAGGAGGTTCAGATGCAGATGTAAAGGCGAGGATTGACAAAGCAAGGACAGCATTCCTACAGTTGAAGAACAGATGGAACTCAAAACAACTTTCAACCAACATCAAAGTGAGAATCTTCAATACCAACGTCAAGGCAGTTCTACTGTATGGAGCTGAAACTTCGAGAACTACAACAACCACCATCAATAAGGTACAAGTATTTATAAATACCTGTCCACGCAAGATACTCAGCCTCCATTGGTCGGATACCATCAGCAACAGTCTTTTGTGGGAGAAAACAAATCAGCTTCCAGCTGAAGAAGAAATTAGGAAAAGATGATGGAAATGGATAGGACATAAATTAGGCGAATCATCAAACTGCATCACGAGGCAAGCCCTAACTTGGAATCCTGAAGGAAGGCGGAAAAGAAGAAGGCCAAAGAACACATTACGTCGAGAAATAGAAGCAGATATGGGAAGGACGAATAACAACTGGAAGGAACTGGAAAGGACTGCCCAGGACAGAGTTGGATGGAGAATGCTGGTGAGCAGCCTATGTTCCTTCACGAGGAGTAACAGGCGTAAGTAAGTAAGTAATTCACTCCAGGACTTGATGCACAAGACTTCGTACAGGATCCACACACACTAAACCAAGAATGATCAAAATTTCAGTCCAAATATCAACAAAGAGATAATGCAAACTATTTCAAATTGAATTAAAACTCATACCCGTTACACAAGTGACTGACTATCTGTATTTACATTTAAAGCGAACAGTAGTGAGTTTAAATCTCACAGTGAACATCAACTCCGGGTTGCAGGTACATCCAGTTGACAAGCCCTGAAGAGGATGGAACGTACGTCTTCAATTCTACTACTAGCCACATTCCACTTATTCTGTATTACCTAATTTTAGTTCCATAGACGATGAGGATAACTAATATAACTTTGTTCATAGTTGAGGGCTACAGATAACTAATGCATTTAGATAAGAATAGTATATACTTATATACATAGCGTCATGTGCTGAAATTAGAACAAATTTAACATATAATGACTCACATACACGCTATAAACTACTAAATTCAGAGTGTGAATATTGAATAAATAATTGTTTATTAAGATTTGTTTTGACTGTGCTTGTATTAGATAATTTATTGATTATTTCGAAATATTATGCTCGAAATAAGCTGACGGGTGAAATGTTGCAATTACTTTATTTCGATCGCCGGGGTTTTCATAGATATAACCTGATAATAAAACTTATTTTGCCGTTATTATTATTATTATTATTATTATTATTATTATTATTATTATTATTTAAGTATTACCATTTCGATAATCGGGAAACACAAAGACGAATTTTATCGGAATTATGTGATATATTTGCGCAATACGTTTCGAACAATTTGATCACACATCTATACTTGTTAAAACATATTTATATGAAAATTAAAAGATCAACTAAACAGGTTAGAGGTAAGTCATGATAAAGAAAAAAAAATATCAAAGTACACAAAAACAATATGATTACCACTCTGGATAGGGTAGGTTAAGTGTAATGACAAATTGTTTTTGAACACACAAGTTATGTAAATACTTATTACCAGTAATTTCTCATTGAGCTTAAGATTATAAATATTCATTAAGAATAGTTTAACGGTTACGGTTAGTAGAATGTGAGGATAATAATGGTGACAATAAAAAATAACAAAGTCTTGCAAGCATGAGAAAATCTATAGAATCTATGAGATTATATAAGTGGATGGTTAAAAATGATATGTATCGAGATTGATTATTGAGGACTTTAAAATCCTTCTTCTAAAGAAAATCATAATAACACCGTTGGATGGCGGCTCAGTGGTCTAATGGTTAAGTGCTCGCACGCGAAGCCAGTAGGTCCTGGGTTCGAGTCTCGCAGGGTACGGGATCGTGGGTGCGCATTGCTGAGGAGTCCCATACTAGGACAAAACGGCCTTCCAGTCCTCTCAGGTTTTCGATATTGGTCTAGCTTCAACTGACTCATGATTTCAATCTGTGAAAATTTCTAAAATCTCCACAAACCCTTTCTGATAAAAATCATAATATTTTGGAAATGGTTAACAAGTTTTATTTCTAGCTTCTCTAAGCTAATTGGATTTTATTTTCCTTGATTGATTCAGTGTTTTTCTTTCTATAATAAATGTACGGTAACCTGAGTTATCAAACTAATGTACCAGCTTTTATATAAAACGATTTTAGTATTTTATGTGCTTGTACCTAACCACTGTAATATTATTTTATGTAAATGGAAAAATTTTCAAGTAATTGACAAAAAACGATAGTTTATACTTTGAATTAAAATTTATCACATTTATTTTGTGTAATATTTGAAATTTATCATGGATTTAGGTATGCTAATGATGTGAAACGAAATGTTTTATTCTGATGAAGTATCTATTGGGAATATGTTCGAATAGGTAGAATATTGAAAGGTTAAATATTCACAGAACTTACCCAATGACATACTAGTGCATATAGTCAAATATGACACTTTTTTTACACCACCATACTTGGAGACTTGATCTTTACACGCATACACTATATAAGCAGACAGGGTTAAAGGGATAATTGAGCCGACTACACGACAACTAGGGCAGCTATCATCCATTGTAGTTAACTTTCTCAAACGAGACGAATCGTCTATACCGCCACCTTCAACTGTTGATTCTTTCATGATTCTGTAGTAAGAAAACGAACAAAAAAAGTGCAGAAGAAATTTAAATGAGAATAAATACATGTGATTCAATTTTGATATAGTTCATTCTGGTGAAAATATTCGAATGATAGAAATTCTACGAGCACAAAAGTTCTCTCCAATAATTAGGTCACTACCTACTTAAATAAAAAAACACTGAAAACGTGATAGCTATTGTCGATTTCGCGCATAAGATCTTTTATCATAAAATATACACTAATACCGATTTATGTTATATAAAGGTACATTCTAATGTAAGGAATGTTTTTCATCAAATTGAACGTTTATCCATAAGACGGTTAAAATATCTTCAAAGGCATTTTAGGCTGCGAAGAAAAATATTTCATTTAGTTTAGAATTTCAATATTACGAAAAAAATAATCCTATTTCATATACTTTAATGAGTAACCAAACAATTTTCAAAGTCAGCACATTTCGAAATTTTTATGCAGAACATTTGTGTGAGTTGTAATTTGCTAAAATGTCGGTTTTATTGTCTGATCATCAGAAGTAATCAAGTTCTCCTGATACGTCCAGTTATCTTATTAGACTAAAACAGTTCGTAAATCAGTGATAAAAATACCAACACAATACTACTAATAATAGTGGGCATAGACCGGTGGTTCATGATTTCAATGAAATTCAATAATCTCCACAACCCCATACTAAAAATAATCTAAATTAATTTGTAACAAAAAGATTCATTCAAATCCATCAGTATATTGGAACTAAATAGAGGTTTACGAAACATTTCTTTAATGTTTCGTCAGTAGGTGTATAGTTCAGCTTACATTAAAAGTCAACTAGAAGTTGGGGAGCACATGTTTCCATTTAACTTTACTGTGACTAGCACACACAATAAGATGTGATTTTGAATCATTAATACAATACTGAGTCAATTAATTGCAACATTAGATAAATAAATCAGTTTGTTTTTTAATGAAACGTTCTTATCTCAATCATATGATTATGCATGCTAATGAGTTTTCACATACGAACATGTTATTTTGATAGATTTTTTAAGTTTATTCATGTCACGTTATTATTATCATCAGTACTATTATGAAAAAGGGAACTGGAACTGAAATGCTGATGATTGCAAATCGAATGTGGTGGTTGAAAGTCCTAGTACGAGTGAAATTCAGTGGATTTGATCTCGCGCCTCTCTATCTAGCAAGGTGAATAAATAAATTAATTTCCAATGTTTTGTCAAACATGGTGGATTTTGAAAGAGGGTATATTTAAGCTATTAACGGAAAGTTAGATAAATGCCTAGAATACACACAAAAGGCAATTTGTCTTGAGCACAATTGTTATTACATTACATAGATAGTCAAAGTATAAAATACTAAAAAAACCAAGATGTCATAAGATTCTGATATCTCCCAGAACCAGGCAAGTTAACTATAAACCCGCGCAGGTGAGAAAGATACTTAATAACTGTTTGGGTCAGAGCTGGGAAAAGTATAGCCAGACATAGTATTTTATAAAACCAATGGAATCAATAAGAACTAAGATAAAAAAAGCGGACAGGACTAAAGTTATTCGAAATTTTAAAGAAAAACCAGTTTATATCAACATTTTAGGAAACGTTTTATTAAATGTGGTAGATATTAGTTCAAGTTTATCAATATTAGGTGGATTAAAATTATTTTGGTGAATTATATCCTTGGTTAAGGTGTATCAGCACTTTTTGGAGATCTCAAAGTTCTTGGTCCATATTTCAGCTTTCTGACTGCTTCATCTTCTTTTGATATTTAGGCAGCTAATTATGACGTTAACATGAAACCACTGGACCTGAAATCTAACAAAAGCCCAAATGGACTCTGCAAACAAGGTGTCAAGTGAACTCGATTATTCTTTGACATAAATTATCTGTCACAATCTGAAACATTTTGTATAAAAGTTCGCTTTTTGGCGACTAATTATTTATTAAATAGTTTAATTAAAACATCGGAAACCTAAGGTCTAAATTAGAGATAGATATCCGGTACAATAAAGTTACCAGAAATCTACAAAATATAATAGTTGCAAGATGATTGTGTAGAGATTTCGGTTAAATTGTCTAAGCAACTTGTGAAAAGGTATAATAAAGGACTTCAAGTTACTAAACTGTAATTAAGAGGTGCCACTAGATACTGTATATATTTCTATGTATATGATCGTTATCAATAATCAACTTAGAATGATATAGAGAATATGCATATCATGAAAACTACAACAAATTCGTTGGCAGAGTATATACTGCAATCTGAAACCACATTCGTATAATCACGAGGACTATGTAAAGATGCATTGTATATCGACAAGCGCTGAACACAACATTTACCTGGCACTGAATAAGAGAAACAATGACGATAAAATTTACTGGTAATACTTTACCTACACATCACATTCTAGTCCACAACTATGGTTACACTCGACAGACAAAACATAGTCTTGAAGGTCTGAACAACCTTTCACTTGGTCATTTTTAAATTGTCGTTGAAATTTCACGTTTCAATCAACATTATACTTAAAACATACTACATATGGGAAGCATGAAAGGTAATTTAGTCAGGTTAATTGTAGCTACCTAATTTATTCTTGTACTGAACTACAGCTCTAATTCAAAATACAACCTTATATTGATAGGTAACTCTGAAGTTCTACGCAAGGAAATGTTGTGAAAACAGCAGTAACTAAGATTTATATGGATACTAATTTCTTCACATTGTATATTTTATTCACATAGTGGTAGCCACCAATTCTTGACTGATGAGGATACATTAGTAACACAAGTAAACAAACTTAGGGTTTGCTATTCACTGTTTGTAATAATCCCATTCCTATGTTGCATACTGAAATAAACATGATTATACACATCCAAATACACTAAAAATACTAATCCACAGTTCATCATTTCTCAAATAATAGTTTCGTTAATTCAACAGTGTCAAAATGTGCACCGAATGCTGAGATCTTTAACTGGAACAATCAAATGGTTACACCTTGTTAACATTCTTATTTCATAAGACTACATTGCATGTTTTAAAATGATCACTCTTTCAAACAATGTGAATGAACTACATTGGAATACCTGTATCCTATAGTTCACAAATGATAACTATTGAACCTTTTACTAAATCAAAAACAGACAAAAGAGTGAATTAATCCAGTGGCCGTAAATTGTAATGAAACCTATATTCCCTGTTAGTTTATCTGTACTCTTTCATTATTCTGACCCTATGAGGCAATTTAGCAGGACTTAGAGTACAGATGTAAAGGTTGGAAAATTCAAGAACATTGGTCTGAAATAACAATAGCAACATAATAATTGTAATGACAAATCAGAAGAGAAAGTGTGATTTATAAATCATGTAATAATTACATGAAGTAGGTTATATAATTAGATCTTTATATACACATTAATTATATGAAATCAACAAAAAAAACAAAGTAGTAACATTAAAAAGAGACAGTAGTATTTATAACGAATTTTTTCAACCAATAAAGATGATCAATAACAAGCCAAATCAGTAAGTTTAATATATTTGGTATGTAGATTCATTCAAGAATATATACTTATCTTTGTTTCGTATAAATCATGATAGAATTGTTAAACAATGAAAACAAAACCAAAAAAACAAAGAAACAAACATAGAATTAGGATTCTATAGAAACTATTTTATATTAAATAGAATGGTAAAATGAATTTGAAAAACAAAACAATTGTCACAAATCTTTTCAACATATAATATGCTGAACAATCAAAACATATAAATGAGAAAAATTACAACAATATGCATAGTTAAAAACTAATCATTAGAATTGACTATTCGTTATATATATTTCAACAATAAAATTATGTATAAGAATGAATGTTTGGATAATGAATAACCAATTATCAATAAGTTCAATTTATTAAGCTATAAAATGTGAATTAGAAGAAACAATGTAATTATCGCACATAGTAGTAGTAGTAATAGTATTAGATTTTTGCAACTGATGAGGAACCATAATGTTGATGATGTTTATGAGAAGAAGAAACAACAAAAGAATGACCTTAACATCTGCATCTGTCTTGATTTTCTTGTTCTTCAGTTCCTAAACGAATACTATCAGGATAGTCAGAGTGTAGATTTGTCTATAAAGAAAAAAAATCACATCAATATTAAAAGTTAATAAAAAATATAGCGTTTTAGTGAACATAAACGTAAAAACAAAGCAAAAATGCGGTTTTGATTTAAATGTATCAAATGTTTTGTCATAGATCTAAAAGAATCAAATAGACTACAATAGTTTTATTCACTGGTTTTTGTCAGATAGCTTTTGTTGACAATACATCTATATTATATGGCGCTAAAATAAATTTCTATAACAATACTGAAGGAAATGACAATTCTCATTTTGATTAAACTGGTTAAATAGCACATATTAACAACTTATTACAATTATATAGTGCAGATACGATTGAATTGTACAGAAAAAAGAATTTAAGCGATTTTAATTATCTTGAATAAGATAAAAACACGCTACATTTACTTAATGGTTTCTGAAATAAATAAAATCATTTTCCAAGTAAATTGTACCTTACATGAACTGGACTACAATGTATATATCCACAAGGATGATAATAAAATTAGTAGTAAAAATAACCAATGTTCATGAGTATCAATATTAAATCTCGTTAAAAACTTGACTTAGTGGCTTCATATATCAGCTTATCAACATATAATATAACTACTGGACAGTGATAGAGCTGGAAGAAAAAGTTCTTCTTGAGATATGTACATACATTTTGAAAGAGATGTCTACGTTCGAATGTACTTATTAAAAATTTAGCTGGAAGACCTGTTGAAACTACGTTTGGAGTAGAAAGTGTTAAGTATGTTGAGATTTCATTAGCCCCAAAACCTTAGTATTAATGAAACTTATGAAATAATTGAAATGCCTAAAGAGCTCAGCTACTTTAGGTATTGATGTAGATCAGTAATTGAAGCAA